TTATTGAAATTGTCTTAAACATCAAAATCCATGTATATATGTCATTTGAAAAAATAAACCAAAATGTAATTACCTTATCCTTAATTCCTTATGATAAAAATACAACTTACATTTCATATAAGGATGCTAATGTAAAGATTTTTAGACTATATTGATTAGGAGGTACCATTTATTTTGAAATTAAATGTTCACGATTTTAGTTTTTGATGAAAAAACAACTTATTTGAAAAAAAAAATCATTACTTAGGTGAAACTCTAATTTTTATTATTAAGAATGTAAGTATTTTTATTCAAACTTTGAAATTTTTATATCATTAAAAAAATTTTAAAATATGAATATTGCTATACTTTTTATATCCAAATGTTAAAACAACAATATATATATATGAAATTAATTAAGTGAGAAAGAAAAAATAATTACTCTTTATCATTGTGATGGAAGATTGATTTTTTATGAAATTATTTTTGAACAAATTAGTTTTACTCAATGTGGTAATTAAAGTTGAATTTCAAGATAAAATTTAATTTTAAATAATATGTTTAGGAATGTGGACTACTATTCTGGTAAAAGAGTGGGAAACAACTTAAAAATCAATACAATATTTGACAAAATAAATCTACATAAATTACTTGATAATAAATTTGTTACACATTTGAATTTATGCATCAAAAATTGACAAAGAAAAAAATAATACATATACTTAAATATTAAATAATGAAACATATTGTTTTATTTGTATTATTTATTAATGAAACAAAACTTGGTAAATAAGAAAATATTGATATTACTAAGATAAGTGCTACTTAAATAATGTGATTTATAATCTTATAGAGTTTTAGCCATGAAGCACAACTTGAACGTGCAATACAGTTCTTAAAATGTGCTGGTCCAATTGGATCATCCATTTGCCAATGGTGAATACCAACCTCTTGACAAGAAGGATATGAAACAAATTTAAAATGCATAAAAGGTTCCAATGTCATATAAAAATAATAGATAGTCATTAAGCATAGATAAATTTTATAAAAAAATAAATATAAACTACTTAAACCATTCCTATGCCTATGACCAAAAAACCATTACTAATGCCTTAAATTTTAAAGCTATAAAAGGATTAGAAAACACAAACATGACAAAGAACGCATTGAAAAGCTTTTGCCTTACCTTACTATCTATACTTAGAAAACGAGTGTCTCATATGATTGTGATCGATTACTAAAATTGAAAGTGAAAGAAGTCAAATTGAAAAATCAATTAATCCAATACTATATTTCTTTCAAGTAGTCTTTGACTAATTATGATTCAAACATTTAAAATACAAGATTCATGAGAAATGTTGCTATGTTATTATATTATTTTGATTTGTTGCTTTGTTTCTTGAAAATTATTACCATAGATTAAGTGGGATGTTACTTTAAATGTCCACTTTCAAAAATCAATAAATAGTTTATTGTTTCTTTATACTTTATGAATTTCTATAGTATTTTAGTTTTATTTTGTTATCTTGGTTTCTTTATTTTTTTATGTTAATTATAATTTGATCTTTTATTTTCTATATTTTAGTGTGAAATATTCCTTTTCTCATATGTTTAATTTGAAAGAATTTTCTTGAACATATATAAAATTTTACGATAAAAGAGATTCCCAATAAATGAGAAAAAAAGTATGCTCAAGTAATAATAAGCCATGAAACAACTATTAATGATGACTTAAACCTATTGATAATGAGATGCTTAATTATTATGATTTCTATATACCAATATTCACTATTTTTTGAAAATTTTTTATTAATTTATTTGGTATTTTTTACTTAAAAAAGCAATGCTAATGGTGGAAATTTTTTGTAGTCAAAAGCAATATACATGTATAAAGTATGCCTTATTAAAGTTAAATTGTGTTTTTAAAAACTTTGGTAATATTTGCAAAAGTTTTCAAACTTAAATCATTACCATTTTAAATTAAATTTTTAAGTTCAATTTATTTTGAATATTATAGACTATAAATAAACATAAAAATTAAAATGATGCAAAAAAATCTTAATACTCATATAATCCTATAAATAAACATAAAATCAAGTTATTATCTTGCCATGTGTTAATAACTCATATATGATAAGGCCACATCAAAAAAAATTCTCCATATGTCAAAAAAGAAAAGGTAAAATATTCAATTGCTATTCTTGAATCCTAACACAAAGTTCAACTATTTCAACCATATAATGGGTCTTTATTTGTTTGTTATTATTCATGAATACCATTTAATGCATAATAGTAGAGATAAGTATCCAAAATTGTTGGCTATACATTATTAATAAGTATTCTTTTATTAAATAATAAATATCAAACATTATATAGCATTTGATTTAACATTATTTTCATTTTAGATAATTGGAAATACTCACCTAAATGCTAATATATCTTCTATTCCACATATGAAACATATTTAGTAATCCAAACTCTATAAATGTCAAATTTTGAAATAATAAAAAAAGTGTATAACTTGTGTGTTGTATTTTTCTCAAATCGCTATCTTTAATAATTTCTTCATTTTTTGAGTTTCAATTAATTTTGAATATATAGACAAATTATATATTTTCATATATTACACAATGATGGTTAATCAATGTTTGTTGTAACCTATATTTTTAACCCAAGATGTGAAAATATCTCTTCATATAACTCTAAAAAACAAATAAATTTACATTATTAGCTATTTTTTTGAGATAATTGAAAAGTTTTAAGAAGTAATATTTATTACAATTGGGAAGCAACTCAATTCGATTTAGGTATGGGTTGCTAAATTCTGAGATTGACCATCAAAATCTAGGTAATTACACCAGAATTTTGCACCCAATTGTTGTCAAACTCTTGCTCCTACTTTTTCCTCTATTTTTCTTTTCAATTACTCTATGATTGTTGTGTCATTTTGTTATGTAATTTAAAGGTCTATTTATATGGCATAATTAGAAGAATTTCATATTAATTCTAACTCTAAAAATTAAGATTATCATGAAAAAAATAAAATTTATCTTTGAAAAGTTTAACTTCAAATTTAATCAGAATAAAACTACATTATCACTAGCCACTTCTTGTTAATTTATAGCCATTCACTCTTTTCTTCAATTATTTTTTTTGTTGTTGAAATAGCCAGATAAATTTAAAAAAATTAAACAAACATAAGGAAATACAACTAAAGATAAATAACAAATAAGCAAATAAAATAAGTAATAAAATAAAATAAAAAGGATAAATAAAAATATATATAGATAAACAAAATAAAAACACAATTTTGACAATTAAGTTTAGGTCAAATCTGAGCCCAATTAATTTGGGTCTTTGACCCTAAAATTAAATCGGACTTAATTAATTTAGATCTTGGATTAAATTAGGTGTCTATAACATTAATTAGAGGAATTAAAAAGTTAAGAACAAGTTACATTGGAAAAATTGAACAATGTCATTTAAGCTATCTATCTATTATACTATAATTTTTTTTCGAATATTGTAATTTATTTATTTTATTTTATTATGCAAAATATGTTTTATTCATGTAAATAAATTATTATAACCATCATAAATATATAAAAAGATTAAAATAATGATTTTAAAAAATAAAAAAGAAAATTTATAACAATTAATTACAATAATGCATAGTATTTTGGTAAAGAGTTTATAATTATATTTTATGCACTGTTAATTTATAAATATTAAATATTATTAGAATCATATAATGATACTTTATAAAAAGATTAATTTTAAAATTTTAAAATCTTAAAAACTAAATATACTTAATTTTAAAAATATTTTTTAAATTATTTTTTATGAAATATTATTATATGATTCATTAATAATGTATAACATTTATACATTAACAATACATTAAATATAATTACTTTTGTAAATAACAAATTAGTCATTTTACTAGCTACTATAATCTTAGAGTCAAAAGAGATATTATTCTGTTGAGTGGCTCCTATTGAAGATAGGTGGGGTTTTAGTCTTGATTATTTAAATAATTGTATGCAGAAAGCATCATAAAGATTGCTGGAAGATGTGGATCTATCTTTTTTTTTTTGTTTTTATGTCTAAGCAACTATTTTATTCCCACTGTCCCCCACCTCGCCGCCCTCGCTGTCTTCCTTCTCAATAAAGCAGAAGTACATTTGAAATTTGCTAGAGATCTGATAACAACATAGAAATTGTTACTTACAGATACAATGCACTAACGTTTTCCATTATTCTTTTTCTTTTGAGAAAAAAAAAAAAAAAAACCTGCATCATATAATTTCTTCAAATATTAAGTGACAGTTAAAAAAAACGAAGAAATCGAAATGTTACATGTTGGACTACTTTTAATTTCAGTGATAATTAAATTTAATTTTATATCTATGAGTGATACGGTGCAAATATACATAAGAAGGTATTAAACTTAATTAAAATATATATATATCAAAATATTATGAAAATTTTCAATAAAGTATAATTTTTTAATAAAAAAGGTGCAATTTAGAGATAACTGATAAAAAAAATTACAAGTATTAAAATAAAAAATTTAAATTTATCAAATATCATCTCCTAAAAATTATTACATAAATCAACTACAAATGAGGATCTAAATTTGAAACCATTCTCTCCAAAATTATATATTATTGGTGTGGTGGGGTTTGTTAATGCAATTATTCCCATTATGATAAAGGTTTGAATTTTCAGTCAACCATTTAACTTTTCCAATTGGAGATAGAGACAAAGTAAAGGGACTTGTTGGACTTGAAATGCAACCACACACTCCCATATTTATTACAATGATCGAACCACTCCTTTCCATTCAATTTCCAATTTAATAAGGCTTTTCTTCTCTCCCCTTTTCTATAATATTTTTTCATCCATCTCCAATCTTTTCACTTTGATCAATTTGAAGAACATGAAAATAACATCTCAATTATAATTAATATGTTCACAACCAAAAATTAATGCTTACCAACTACAGACATATACATCTATAAAGCCCATTTCAGTCTAGGTTGAATATTTCTCATCCAATATATATCAAAGCTCTTTGGTTGGTGTTGGGTACGGAAGGGCTATTCAATAGTGGCTAGTGGCATGGTTCTGCTAGTGGAATAATTCCTCAATCTCGCATTAAGGTCATCCCCTTCGCCATTTTATCTCTCACCCTACTGGTCCCCGCCCATGCATTTAGACACAACTCACAACTTCCTAGACATAAAGCAAATTTACTAGAGTCTTCAACTAATAATTGTCCAAGAAACTATTCTCATATATTCTAGATTTTCGCTGCTCGCTTCTTTTTCTTAATCTTTTCCGCCAAAATATATTTATTCAAGGTTCCAGCCCTGGTGGCGAAGAGGAGAATCTGATTTCATGGCTTCCCAGCTTTTCTCTCTAAACCACCCAAAGTGCACCCTACATCAGACCTTTCAAGGTCCCTTGCGAAAATACAACTTGAACCAAAAGACCAAAAATCTTTACTTCCAATATAACCCTTGTTTTCCAAGTTCCTCAAAGGAGGCCATCAAATGTTCAACCTCCTTGTCAAGTTTAACTGATCCACAGCTAGAAGAAACTTTAGTGTTAGAAGAAGACGAGAGGTCTCTTTGCCAAATTTGGAAGGAAATTCAAGGCTGCAACGACTGGGATGGACTGCTGGACCCCATGAATCCTCATCTCCGCAGAGAAATCATCCGCTATGGTGAATTTGCTCAAGCATGCTATGATTCTTTCGACTTTGATCCTCACTCCAAATACTGTGGTTCTTGCAAATACCAAGGAGCCCATTTCTTTGAAAAGCTTGGGATGGCAGACCGTGGCTACCAAATCAGTAGATACCTCTACGCGACCTCAAATATCAATCTCCCAAACTTCTTCCAGAAATCAAAGCTAACCAGTGTATGGAGCACCCATGCAAACTGGATGGGGTACGTAGCCGTATGCACTGATGAAGATGAGATCAAACGGCTGGGGAGACGCGATATTGTCATTTCTTGGAGAGGTACAGTCACATATCTTGAATGGATTTATGACCTCAAAGATATTCTTCATCAATCAAATTTCACCAAGAACCCTTCCATTAAAATGGAGTTAGGTTTTTATGACTTGTACACCAAGAAAGAAGACACTTGCAACTATTGCTCATTTTCAGCTCGCGAACAAGTGTTGGCTGAGATTAAAAGGCTTCTTGAATACTATGATGGTGAAGAAATAAGTATTACAATTACAGGTCATAGTCTCGGGGCTGCTTTGGCCATAATAACAGCTTATGATGTTGCGGAATTGGGGCTTAATCTTGTTAACGAAGGAGGGCTTAGCGATAAAATACCAATTACAGTCTACTCTTTTGCTGGTCCTCGAGTAGGCAATCTTAAGTTTAAGGAAAGGTGTGACGAGCTAGGAGTTAAGGTACTTAGAGTGGTAAATGTGCATGATAAAGTACCAACAGTGCCAGGGATTTTTGCTAATGAGAAGCTTCAATTTCAAAAATATTTAGAAGAGGCTGTATCTTTTCCTTGGAGTTATGCCCATGTTGGGGTTGAATTGGCATTGGATCATACCCATAGCCCATTTCTGAAACCAACTAATGATCTGAGTTGTGCACATAATCTTGAGGCTCATTTACACTTGCTCGACGGCTACCATGGCAAAGGGCGACTATTTTGCTTGGCTAATAAGAGGGACATTGCCCTTGTTAACAAGGATAGCAACTTCTTGAAGATTGAGTATGGGGTGCCACCATGCTGGCGGCAGGATGAGAACAAAGGGATGGTAAGGGATAGCGATGGGCGTTGGGTATTGCCGGAAAGGCCGAGAGTGGAGGTCCATCCACATGATATATCCCACCACCTTGAAAAAATACTGGATATTGCCTCGGGTTCTTCCCAACTGAAAGAAGCATAATCCATCATAATGACTAGACACTTACCGAAGCATGCTCAATTATGAATGTCGTTTTTCTTTGTCGTTTTTCGATTATTTTCTTTAGCCCTACAATTTGTAAATCTTATACTTTTTGGAGGCTAGTAGTAACAATTTGCTTGTCATAGATGTGCATATTTACTCATGCAACTTTGATTTTATGAGAATCATATAGCTTTTGTCTTTGGAAAAAAATACTCAATTGTTAGAATTTGAAGACATTTTTGGAAATTTTATTCTTAATCTTGAAAATGAACTGACGAAATCAAATAAACAAACCAATGAAAGAACGAGCATATAATTAAATAAGTTAACATAAAATTAGAACAAATTTTCTACTAAACCAAGACCATTAGTTTCTTTTTCTCATTCAAATCTAACCACGTTCAATATGTGCAAATAAAACAATAGGCAATTCTTTTTTATTAGAAGTTCACAGTGTTCACTCACTCATTGCGCCATTTTCTTTGATGTGATAATGCAAAAGACAGAAATGTGGACCTCATTTTATTCTATTGGACGATGTTAATATGCAAAATTTTAGTACTCTGTTTTTTTTTTATCTCAGTCTATAAAATAAAATAAAAAAAAAACCGTATATTAAAAGAGACAATAGGTAGCATTACCATCAAGTAGGGTCCGCATTACAATGATTGGACCATATAATCAAACTAGATTATTATCTAATAACTATTACCTTTTGCGAAAAGGCAATTAAAAGCAAAATTTCTTTCTCCTCTTTTCATTTGTCAATATCTTTTAGGTAACATTTGATATTTTTTAAGATTTAATATAATTGTTGGGATAGTTTTATTATTAAAGTGATTTTAATATTTTTAATTTAAAATTATTTTATTTGATTAATAATCATTAATTTTTAAAAATTAAAAATTATTATTTTTATATTACTAAAAATTAAATATTATTTTATTTAAAATATAAAAGTAATCATATATCGTAATAATTATACAAATTAATAATTTTAAATTTATTTAAAAATAATAATTTGTAAAATATTAGTAAAATATATTTATTTTATAATAAAATATAATTAAATTATTAAATTAATAAATATATTTTTTGATGGGTAAATTAATTTTTGTAATATAAATTATGTAAAAGAATATTTGAATTATAAAATAAAACCAATCTATTAAATTTATAATAAAATAAAAAAAATTTATATTATATAAATATTAAAATAATATACAAATATACAAATTATTTTTTAACTTGTTAGAATGAACATTAGTTTGAAAATGTAAAAACTTATAATATAAAATAATTATAATTTTAAGATGCTGTAAGTTTTTAATTTAATAATAAATGAGTAAAATTAGCTATTGATAATTTTACATATCACTTTTTTTTGTGAAAAAAATTTTTCATATATTTTATATGAGAATTAGATCACTTTCAATAACCTGATCAGTGATCTAAGATCACTATTACGTAAGATCGTTGAGTGTTTATTAAACATAATGATCTAATCATTATGTGTAAATCATCATAACTTTTAGAGTGATCACCTCATACCAATATTACCTAAATAAATTAAGAGTCCATTTGAATGGACAACTAGATTAGTTTCTATAATATTTACAACAATAATGGATATAAGATTAATTATTAAAGCGGTGAGATTAAAATCAGTGATGAGATATTATTTGAATACAAAAATACTATCGATGAAATAAATTGTAATGAGATAAAAAAATTATCATTAAAAATATTAAATTAAAAATTATAAGCAATGAAAATTTTAAATTTAAATTATTTCATAATTTTAAATAAAAAATGATAAATAATAAATTATAAGGACTTTTTTTACATCTTTGCATCGTGAAAAACAAAAAGAAAAAATTGTGTCATTCCCCATTGCACCAAAACGGGGTAAAACTATAAAAGTCCCAGAATGAGATAATGTAATAATGATCATCAATAATATTCTTTTTTTTTTTTAACTTCCACAGTTATATTATTCAACAATGACAAATTTTAAATTCTCTTCAATTCTTTTGTATTTTAGTTTAAGTCTAAAATTAGTTAAAAGTAAAATCAAAATTATAATTTTGAAACCTCCCTAGTTTTTGTAACAAGCAACCAAGAGTTCATGCCAAGTTAGAATTAATCAGCTCAAGCATACATTTCACGTGCAAGTCTGAATCATGAAGATACCCCACCAAAATGCCCTCTGCCAAATGGCTTAATTTCTAGTATCATAATAAGATATTTATCCATACTCAAAGGGAATAAATGAAAAAAATCATAATAATAAAAGGTTTGGCTACCAATAACTTACATCTGCTTGACATCACCAAGGCTAGTCTAGACTTTGTTTAAGAACACATGTTGCTATTCAGATCTTTCTTTTCTTATTCTCTTAAAAAAGCAACACACTATTCTTATTGTAGTATATGTAATTCCTAAAAAATAATCCCAAGCATTATGAAAGAATCGCACACTTTTAGATTTGGTGCGATCAGTAAAGAGAGAATTTTTTTTTAATCAAAACTCAATCTTTAAAAAAATATTGTGAAATTAATACGAGAGAATGTGCT